ACTGCTGGATGAAGGCACACAAGGCTTCAGTCTCAGCCTCAGACTCGTTGCCGGGTGTTAGCTTGGCTCTGTAGCTCTGCAAATCAAAAACACAGTTAAACCTGTTCACATGCAGATCATGTGACCAGAGCTCATCCTTCAAAACCAACATCACACACGCTATACAGCATATACATGAAATAAAGATGCACGAGAGTTTCTCTGACCTGTGTGTACGCCGCCACATATGAATGTGAGCCATCAAAGAGAAACAGGAACTCCACAGGCTGATTCTGGGTCTGCAGCTGAGAGCACATTTCAAATGCTACACAGGCACCAAAAGAATATCCAGCGACTCTGTACGGGCCGTCCGGCTGCACCTGCCTGATGCAGCTCACGTAGTAGGCAGCCAGGGACTCAATGCTATCCAGAGGAGCAGCTGCAAAGGAAACACATGAGGGGAGTTAGTTTAGCTGCACAGTGACATAAACAGCTGATGCACAACATGTGAGTGACAAAGGTCTGAGAACAGAACCACAAACTTTTAAACTGTGACTGTGAAACAAAGAAAACATGGAATCACATCAGGTCTTTGGTTTTCCTCAGACCACTATGGAGGGAGCTGTACATGTACAAGTGTTTGCAGTTTCACCTTTGAACAGTCAGACTTTCAGCTTTAACACATTTTGCTGTTTAACAGTTACACACGTTTTGATACACATGATTATGACACCTGGTGAGGACGCACACTCATCATTTGATGACGATGGTTCAAAGTGCTGATTTTGTATTTTAAAGTTTTTCTCTGTGACTGTAAAGTCATTTTAATATGAGCCCCATTATGCTGACAAACCCACACCGACAATGCACACCGACGATGCACACAGCTCAGCAACACCAACGAGCCTGAAACTCAAACAACATGAAAAGTTATCCATGAGGCGCCAAAACACAACAACAGCTGCAGCAAAGGCTCTTTGTACTGTAAGATGAAGATCCTACAAAAGTAGGAAGCCTCACAAACCACATGTAGACTGGTTGTGCAAACTCCCACAAACCCTGCAGTCGAGAGGATAACGAGCTGCTCCAGTGATCATGACCAGGACACAAACTGCTTCCTCCTGAATCAGAGGCCTGACTGACAGACACACCCTGGCATAGAGGAGGCTGAGGAGTGTGACAGTTGGAGCACACGCTCAGGTCTAGGTCTTTAAACAGGGGAACCACCACCCCAGTGTGCCAGTCCAGAGGCAGCATCCCAGAGCTTCACGCAGCGCCATGTCAGCCAGGACGGCCCTGCAACACCCAGATCCTTCTCATCAGCCTCAGGTCTGTCCTAAATCCTAGCAGGAGCTACCACGACGCGTACCACAAAATGCATCGCACTGGTTCTTCCCAGTAGTTCAACTCCTTGGAACTGGTTGTCTGCTTGCCAATGAATCCTGCTTATTGGTTCCACTTGTGCTACAATCAGGACGAATTGTAGTGGCGCAGTCTGAAGCTGGATATGAATATTACTTTTATGTTTATTGCACAAAAGGATGCGAGTGCTAAAGTGCAAACTGCGCCTGGATAGACAGCATGCTAGCTCCAAGCTAGAGCTCAGAGCGATGAGGAAGCTGAGCTTCAGCAGGTAACAGAGGCGGTGATGATCAGTCGAGCGGTCGCCTCTGATCATGTTTCTACGGAACCAGCACAAACACAGTGTGTTTGTGTGACTGCAGGTTTATATTGTGAAATGTAATTATGAGACAGCACACTTCACAAAGAAAGCACTGTAACAAGTAACTAATAGACAAGTAACTAATTACTTTGTCTTGGGAGTAATTAAGATAGAACACTTCTAAAAAGTAATGCAGTATGTAACAGAGTACACCCATGACCCAAACACTGATCACACCTCCAACATGCACAAACATTTGACATCATATAACTGATTCATAATGAATGTGTTTGACTGTTCTCTCACAGTGGAGCCGATAAGAATCAATAATAGAATCAATAAAGGAATTGATTCCATGAGTGACGTCAATAATGGAGTCCGTTTCCATCCGCAGACACACTGCAACACTATCAGCCCAGAACCGGGACCTGGACCCAGCAGTGTGGGATCCTGCTGAGCTGTGGACGTCCTGAAGGATTCTAGATTTGATTGACTTCAATCACAAAAAGCTTCCTCAGAGTCGAGGCTGTGCTGAGGAAGGCGGACACACCAAATACTGACTGAAGTCTACAAACTGTTCCTGACTGCATCCACCTGAGTCTGCACACGTTTCATAAACGACTCTGCATATTTCCTTTCCAAATGCAAAGTGCACAGTAGCTCCTGTCTGTTGTGCAGGACTCTGTATTTTCATTGTCTTTAAAGTATAACAAACCTTTGGTGCACTGCAAGCCGTAGCAAGGCACGCTGAGCTTAGAAGCAAGCGTCTTAAAGGCTGCGATGGAGCCCTCGATGGGATGTACCAGGAACAGCGGCCCGTCCTGGCTCTTCACCTTGTTCAGTGACATCACAGTAGGGCTGCTGGGGCTGACCATCAGCTTGGTCAGATCAGACTCTAACACAGAGCGAACGCCGTCCTTCTTAGCTGTGGTGTGTGGAGATGTACTCAGTTATGTTTGTACACATGATAACACATTTCATATTAACAAGAGTCTTAACAGCTCGATTTAAACAAATACATAAGTGCTTTTTTACAACCTGAAACCTTTTCAAAGATCTTTCTGCATTTAAAAAGCAGCTCTTCATACCGCTTTGTCCTTCTGGCTTGCTATTGGCCAGCTCTCGCAACTTGTTAATGGTGAGCTGGCGGATATCCCTCATGGCCATGACGATGTCATAGTCGCGTTCCAGAGTCTGGCGAACCTCAACGCCCATCAAAGAGTCCAGACCCAAATCAGCCAATGAGGTGTCAGCATTCAGACTGCTGACATCCCGCACACCTGTGAGTGAGAAGAAGTTAAAAACAACGAAGAAATGAGTCGATGTCTGTGATACAAAGTAACCTCAAAGATCACCAAAGCGACTCAGGACGGCGGTCTTTTCTTATATAACACCTTTATGAACGCTAGTTTGGTATAACCTGACTCTTACCTAGAATGTGAGCTACAGCGTCCACCAAGTCTTTCCGGTTTCCTGCTTCACTCTTTACGACCGTCCTCTCCGCCAGCACAAAGCTGGACACCACTGGGTGCTGCTGGCACAGGAAGAAGTCCAGCACTTCCAGACAGGAGGCCATGCGCTGCGGGAGGGTGCCACCGATCACAACGTCATTCCCACCCATGGTCTCTAGAACCACCCCAACATCACCAATGGCACCCCACTGGACTGCAAGTCCAGGCAGGCCATCATAGTGGCGCTTCTCACACACGCGCTCCATCGCAGAGTTGGCGTAGCCATAATTACTTTGGCCAGCGTTGCCACGGCCACAGCTGACTGAAGAGAAGGCCACAAAGTGTCTGAGCTCTGGACACAGTTTCCTTGTTACTCTAGAGAGGGGATGGAAACATCCAGAGGTCAGTTCATGATGGTACCCAGTGACACACAGAGGGAGGAGCCACTCTTCTAACTTACCTGTCCAGGTTGATGGTGCCGTCATTTTTAGGTTTGTTAACTTCGAGATAAAGCTGAGGAGTTAAATTCTCCAACATACCGTCTTTCAACACCTGAATGCAAACAAACATCAACAAACGGTCACTTTAAACGTTAACTGGCAGTAGTTTAGCTGTTAGCATCTGATAATTGAGAAACTTTAGTCGACATCGTTAGCATCGTTCTTGCTTTTGTTTTCGTTGCATGTCATGTGACACTGCAGCTATTGAAGTCCAACAAAGGGATCTGACCATCATTCTAGTTTGCAGTAATAATGCAGTAATAATGCAGTGATAATGCAGAATCCAAACACTGACAGCAACGTCAGCATTAGACAGCGAGTGAGGCGCCTGCTGGAAGGTGGAAGACGTCGTAAATGTAAACAAACCGTCTTGACTGAGAAGTTACTTTAGAAAATAAAATGTATTGTTTCAAAATAAAAGTAAAGAAAGAAAGCTACTGTTAGGTATTAGCACTGGTACACACATGAAAGGTAGCACTCTCCCCTGCTCGCTGTAAAAGTCACTGCTGCCTCTAACACATCCACGGCTTGTTTCTGGGAGGGGCAGTTACCCCCCCACGGTTAGTTAGTGACACTGAAGAGCAAAAGTATGGAGGGCTCAGCTCAGTGACAGCTGCAGCAGCCAAAGTGCACGAACCAGATATATGTAGTCCAAATTTAGGAAGGACCATAAAACCTGTGAAACATGATTTTTCCAAGGTGACACATATAAATAACTAAAGGGAATCTGACCATGGCTAGGTGAAAGACACCACCCACTGCACCCATGCCACAGGCCTCAGCAATCAGTTGCTCTGTTCCTTTCAGTGTGCCGACATCACTGGTGGACACAAACACCTCCACACCCTGATTCTGCCACTCCTGCACCCGCTTCGCCTGGTAACCTGAAGACAGTTCAACAGTGAAGCTGTAAGATGAGTCACATCAGCACTGATGCAGGACTTGCCTGTGCACATCAGTAGGAGCACCGTGTCATCGTGCATTACCGTTTCTCACGCCTGATCTAGAAGTCAGCACCAGTTTGTGGGCTCCCCTCTCCACCAGCCACTGAGCAAGCTCCAAACCAAACCCCCCGAGCCCCCCAGTTATAATGTAGGAGTGGGACGAGTGGCAGAAGGTGCGACAGATAGCTGGCAGAGACAGAGCAGAAGCAGCCTGTACAGCTGCTCCCTGCTCCTCACAACGGACCTGTGAGAAAAGAAAAGCTGGTCAGAAGATAAGCAGCAGTCCAGCCACTCTGCAGTCACAGTAACATACCAACCACATGCATGTAGGGATGGGCAGGTGCAGTACAAACACCTCACTCACCTGAACCAGGACCTTGCCGATGTGCTTGCCCTGAGCCATGTATCTGAATGCTTGTTCCACTTGGTCCTTATCGAACACTGTGGTTCTCAGAGGCTGAACTACTCCTCCCACAATGCCCTGCTGCAAACACTGGGACACCTCCTCCCACTCTTGGTTGCCCTCTTCAAAGAGAGCATCCAGCAGGATACCATGGAAAGCCACATTCTTAAGGAATAACGCCATGCCTGAAGGAATCACAGCAACGTGACAGCGTTTGTCAAGGCTTCAAGAATCATTTATGACAACAAAACTCTGGTTAACACCTGCAGGAACCTTTAAAAAGCTAATAAAACATGTTTATATATTTATCTATCCTGTTGTCAATAAACACCAGATCTACTGACCCAGAGGAGTGTTGTTGGAAAGGTCATATTTGCCGATCTCCAGGAATCGTCCGTGTCGAGCGAGGCAGCGAACACTGGCCTGCAGCTTCTCCTCGGCCAGAGAATTCAGCACCACATCCACGCCTGAAACACACACAGCAAACACGACGTCACATACAGTCAGTGTATAATATAATATACAGTTCACACAACTGTTACTTGTTAAACTCAAAAACCTGCTAAAGCTTTATGTGCACAAGTCTTGTTCCAGGACATTCTTGGGTTCCTCAACATGGAGCAAAGTGTCTGCAGTACACGTGCTGTGTTCCACACCGGCTTTAAAGTCCCAGAGGAAACATCAAACATGTTAGAGGAGGCGGAGCTGACAACCACGAACAGCACCAGTGCTCACACAGAAGCACACACAGTCATCGATGCAGC